CCTATCCCCTGTGTGCCTTGCCTCCCACGACTATATAAACACTACAAATGCCTATAGGTGACGCTCTACACATTTATCACCGTTCAAAGTTTATCATACGGTCATAGATGTTTGAGAGTATTTAAATTTTAATATATTTTCACAAATCATAATGATATAAAATTTTGTTGGTGTATTCGCCTTAGTGAGATGCACATGAATAAAATATAAAACAAATAATTTGAATGATAAAAAATACATAAAATACCCCTATAAAGTTTCAAGGGTAATTTCATCATTTTATTTTATGACTATTGTTTTTTTTAATATTTTATTTTGATGCGACTTGGTCATATATGTACACATGTCTCAAATTTTAGATAAATCTGATTAGTAAAATAATTATAAAAATTTAAATACTACTAGACAACTGTGACCGTGTAATGAACTTTGAATGGTGATGAGGTGTAGGTGAAATACTGTAGAAGTTCATCTATAAGTGTTTTACATCATTAAAAAAAAGAATGGACATGTCTCGCAAAAATAAAAAAAAGGCTAAATTTTATAAAGATTATAGGACACACTTCCATCTTTAGGAGAAGAGAGAGAAAAAGAGTCCACAATTTCATTCCCTAATTATATAAAAAAAGCCTTATCATACCCAATCACACTAATTTTAAGGATAGGCTAATTTCTTTCTAAAATTTAGATGATGAATATAGGGTTAGAAAGTCGCTAATGATATGAGATAGACGGAGAGAGATTTAAGGAGAGGATCTAAATGGGTTATATGTACATTTTTTTGGAGGGTACGGTTTATAGAGCCGGGGCTCTATCCCACCTTCAAATAGTGTCAAGAACTATGGTTTCAATATTATAAAGTTTTGCGATAACTTTAAATTATATTTTCATCTTTAGTTATAAAATTTAAAGTTTAAAAAATAGTGTAGATAGAGCATATCTATGAAAACTTGAAAATTGACCATCCAACAATGCGTTAGAAGATGCACTATTTTCGAAACTCAAAATCTATTTTTTTTTTCATGTACATGCATCTTGATGTCGATATGACCAATTTGAAGATATTTGGGCATCAAAACAACCTCTTCTAGTGAAAGTTTCGAGGTAGGTTCTAATTTGATTGTTTAGAGCCTAACATCTATATAAACTTTTTCTTTTTTTTAAAGAATATCTTTTTAATTCCAAACTTTTTTTCCAAGTAAAAAATCTACAAGATTTTAATACCCTTTAAATATGTGAACCGTAAATAGAGATGAATAGGTTAGGGACATAAAGTAGTAAGTTTTTTTCCTTTTTTAATAAATATATGATATGAAAATATGAATAGAGATGCAAACATTAGAAAAAAAGCGTCTCCCATCTTACAATTTGCTTATTTTATTGATAAGTGTCAATTTTTTTATTATCAAAGTTTTTTATTATTTATTAGACATGCATGTAAATTCATATATTTATGTCCTCCCTCTCTCCATAAAAACCATATCTGATATGAATGCATATTTTTATGGCATCTCTCTCCACATTAGATATACGTGCAAACTTTATTAGATATACATACAAGCTTTTCTTTTTATGCCCTCTCTCTCAACGTGTCTCTCTCTTTCAACTTGTCTCTCTCTACATTTAAAGTCTTTTTAAATATGTAGGTAAAGTTTTTGAAAATGATCATTTATTTAGGTGAAAATATTTTCATATCTTTTATTTTTAGGTTCAATTTTTAATAAATTCATTTGAAAATATAACTTCTAACCCCATACTACTTTAAATCTATTTTTTAATCTAAACAAATGTAAAAAAAATATGCTCTTTTTAAATCCAATTTTTTTTCTCTCTTCACTTATATACCCCGAACTTCTTTCTTTCTCTATGTTTTTGTGTCTCCACAAACTTCTTTCTTTCTGTCTCTTCTTGTGTCTCTCCAAACTTTTTTATTTCTCTGTCTTCCTGTGTCTCCCCAAACTTTTTTCTTTCTCTCTATTCTTATGTCTCTCACTCACTCTCTTTTCTCGTGTTTCTCCAAACACATCTTTTTCTCTCTCTTCATGTGTCTCTTACTCTCTCCTCTTGTATTTTTCCAAACATCTCTCTCTTCTCTCGATAACCTTTCACTTCTATAAAGCCCTTTTCTCTCTCTAAAAATTTGAGAAGATGACTTTTAGAAAAGGTATGTCTTTATAGATTTATTTGACCTTAAAATAGGTTTAAATTAGCTTGGGGGTTATTAGAAATAAAATCTACCATTTTTATACCCCACGATATATTTAAAAACCTTGAGTATATTGTGAAATGAAACCTAAAAATAAGAAGTATAGCGATGTTTTCTCTTTATTTAAACCGTATTTTAGATATACATGCATTCTTTTTTAAAGTGATCATTCATTAGATATGCATGCAATCTTCTATTTTTAAGGGAATGCTAACATGTTATTTTATGTTCAATAAAATACATTTCTGGTTTTTTTTTTGCTTTCTCTTAATTTTATGTTAGATATTATCACAATTGCAAGAGTTGTCAATGCTAACCGTTGATAGCATTGAAACAAAGTAATTTCTTAATGGATTAGAGAATTTTTTTTTATTATTTTTCCTTTTAAATATGTATAAATTTCTTGGAGTGAAAAAAATCGTGACTTTCTATATTGATGGCGTATATAATTTGAGCACTCTTATTGCATTAATGATATATATCGTGATATTTTTATATGCTTATTGTTATCTTCATATAGTACAATCATATTTTCTAGCATAATAATATGATCTTCTATATTATGAAGAGATTTGATTTATATATTTTTATATTCCATTCTTATGTACAACACATGTAATTCATAATTTTATTTCAGAGATTTGAACAATGGACAACGATGTATATTGTGTTTTTAGTTCCAGTAATCAAAAATCGGCTTGAAGTTATGAGCATTAAAATAAGAAGAATCACAACAACCACTAAAAATAATCATACTCAAATTATATATGTATAACTTATTTAATTCTTTAATTTCGTATTTCTGTTGCTTTTGGGATTTATTGATAACTCCAAAAATCTTGAGTGAGTTAGGTAAGGCAGCTCACGAGCTTGAAGCCTTAAAGTTCCTTAAAATACACAGCGAGAAATGTAGAAAATAAGGGATTTATTGACAATTGGATGTTTTAATGAAATACTAGATTGAGAGAAAATTGGGTATATAAGATTCTTTACTACCAATGAGCCTAGAAATATTTTTTGACTTGCAATATTCTTTTGCCTTATGGAAGGGAAAGGCAATAGAAACTTTTCAAATTCAAGGAATGCCCTTCAAAATTTAATCAATGATAGCTTATGAAGTCAACAATTATCAAAATTTTGATTTATTTAAGGGTATAAACAAGAGTTGCCTTACTTTTAGCTTCATTTGAGGTATCCCAATAATTTTAAATTGGGTTTAGTTTTTGGTAGAGCCGCAGCTTCACTATGTTTGCTAAAGCCGCACCTCAAAATCTCACTTGGAAAGGCAATATCATCGAAATTTTGATGTTGCTAAAGCCGTACCACAAAAATCCTGCCAAGAAAGGGTAAAGGAAAAAGTATATATAAGATGTAAACACACCTTATACCACATATCTTGAAGAGAGGATTTCGGTATTAGAAATCTCTAATGGGTCATCTCGAACTCGAGATGTATGTATATAAAGAATAAAAAAAATCAAATTTAAAAAATAATGTATATAGTAATAAGTTATTTGAATCATCTATTTTTAAGATTTTAAAATATTTATAGACCTACTC